GAGCATGACCCCTGTTTTTTCCTATAGCTTGATAATTTGCAACTAGGCTTGAAATTTCCTTGAAAATAAATGATTTGCAACAGTTTTAGTGGCGACATGTGTGATTTGCAGCAACAAATACTGCAGTTTGACCCCAAAGTAGTGCATATCTGTGAGCGGGAGTGAAGTAAAAACTTAGGCTAAGTATCTGATTATCTGAAGATAGATGGGTGCGAAAGTAAAATACATACATACGAGCCATCAATAAAAAAAAACAATAACATCTACCAAACTGTTGAACACATCCTTCAGCACTGCAAGACACACAGGGCCCTGAGACAGAAAACGTGGCCAACCCCACTGACGCTACAAGAGAAGCTATACGGACCGACTGATGAACTGAGCAGGACGGCCAGATACCAGACTTCAAGTGTGATGTGATCGAGAAGAAGAAGAATAAGATCTAGAATCTAGATTCAAGTCTAGAGTAGCTAGTAGACCTAGGATAGATCACAAATTCAGATTCAGTAGCCTATGTAAGTCATCACATAGTATTATAGTATGTTATTATATTATAACTCAAATCTCACTCATCCCAACAAAACACACATCTCACAGTCTGCAGTAACCTACATTCCTACATTGTAACATTACAAATTCATAATTATAGTTAACTCAACCCTACCAAAAAGAATGAAATTCACAAAACAAAATGATATATATATACACCAAATAAATACAAAACGAAGTGGCTAGCCGCACTTGACCTAAATAAGGTTAGCCTGCCAGTCTAACCGTACTTTGGTTAGCCCTTTTGACTGAAACATGCTGAGTACATAGGTCTCATTAGATCAAGATCTAGGAATAATTAACGTTTAGAATAACATGCATGTCATTTAGCCACCTTTGGTTTCGTCTTAAATACAAAAATATTTCAGGTATTGCAAACTAAAAATTTTTCTTTACAATTCAGCCATCATTATTAAGTACGGTTAGCCTACCAGTGTAGCAGTCTTGCCGTACTACGCTAGGCCCTATTGACCGAAACCTGTTGAGTACACAGGTCTCATTAGTACTTATTCAGGTTTAAAATACATGCACTGTCAGTAAGTGACTCAGTAAGGAACCTTTTCGTTTCGTCTCAAACACAAATACTTTAGGTATTGCAAACTAAAAATTTATTTACAGTTCAGTAGGCTTAGGCTTATTTTATGGTGTTTGTCAGTATAGCCATCATTATTACGTTCGGCTAGCCTCGTGGTCTAGCCAGCATTAAGTACGGCTAGCCTAG